CGCTGTTGAAACTGATCAGTTTCAGCAGCGGCTGAATCTGGATGCCAGTTCCGACTTACATACAGATTCAACTTAAGAACAAACCTACAGTCCCTATCTTGTACGTAACCCGGGGACTGCCTGTACTTCAAAGTGGCAGTGCTGCACAGCAGTGTTGCCACTTTGAAACCCCAAGGTAGATGCTGCACAGCTGATCCTGGGTTCAACACGACACTTCCCCAGGCTCCACAGCAGCTGCCCCTTTAAAACACCACCTCTGCGCATTTCAAAGGGGCAGCTGAGTCCTCAGGCTCCATGACTTTCAAATGCACAAGAGCCCCCGCTGGGGACTTGTGCATTTGAAAACCGGCACCTGCGTGCAGCCAGGAGTCAGCGGGACTATCTGCTGGCCCCAGGCTGTACAAGGAGTTCCACATTCCTTCAAGCTCCTGCAGGACTCTTGTATATTTAAAAGGAGGAATGTGGAAGTGCCTATCAACTAGTCAATTAACTGCATTTTAACATGCTTAGTGCCCAGCACAGCCTGAGCACCTGCACCCCACTATGGGTAAGCTGTACTCAGTCCTACAGGGCAGGAAAAAGCCAGGAGCAGAGTAGGAGGATGGTCACACAGCCAGCTGGGGGGAGGGGATGGGGAGTGTCAGGGGATGGGGCTGGCTGTTGGAGCAGCCTGCACACCTTGCTATCCCACCCCAGCATTGGCCCTAGACCAGGGGTGGGCAATGGGACCTCTACGGGCAGTGGCGGGAGAAGCGCCTGTACCTCTGACCTGGACCTCAGCACTGCTAGGAGAAGCCCTGGAGCTGCCACAGCAGAAATAGCTGCAACTCCCCTCCCCGAGCCTAGATGCTGTTGTGCGGTGTCCGCTCTCCTCACACACCAAACCTCTCACCTCCCAACCCTCACCCTCAGGCCTGAGCTCCTTCTCGCACTGTGAACCCCTCTTTCCCAGTCCCTGCTAGAGCCGTCACACCCTCCCTGCACCTTTACCCTCTGCCCCCCAACCAATTTTCCCCTCCCACACTCTGGACCCCTTGCCTCCACCACCACCACGCTTCTCCATATTGGTGCATATAATAAAATTAATGCCACAGACGCATAGGAATAATTTGGGGGAAACACTGAAGTCAACTTTGGACTTAACAAAAGAGCTATAAAAGCATCTCACTGAATTAGGTGACTGGTAAGAAAATGGCAGATGAAATTCAGTGTTGATGTGCAAAGTAATGCACATTTGGAAAATATGATACCAGCTGCCTGGTGAAAGGGAGGGCGAATGGAGCAAGCAGGGGCAGGGGCAGGGCCTCAAAGGGGCACGAATGAGGTGGGGGAAGTATTTGGGTTTGAGGTATATTCTGGATCCTACTTAAATTCAAAAAGTGATCTGGTGCTTAAAAAAGTTTGGAGACCCCTGTGTCTGCTCTGAGTCACTGAAATGGTATTTAATTCAATCGATTGGTTTAACTGACTGAAGGTTGTTAAACAAATTAAGCTGAGTACCACTTCAGGTGAATGGCTCCTTAAGACCAAGCCAGCTGTGGAGCTGACCTTTTCAAATATGTGACTGCCTCCTTAACAACACTGCCTGGGGAGACACTTGGCAACCCTTTTGAAATGTAATGGCGACCCATATTTGGGTTGTGGCCCATAGATTGGGAAACCCTGCAAGTGTACTATCACCACTGCAGTAGACTGGCTAATAAGTCAGAAAAGCAGTTCTCTTAGCATTGTAGTGCTAATAGCAAAGCTGTAACAAACTGGTTCTCCAATACAAAAGGCTAGCAAATGGGCCATCATCAGTTTAAGAGGCCGTTCTTTGGCAAAGAAATAGCTTGAGGGGGGAAAATAGTTGGGGCTCCCCTCCACAAAGGCTTTCCATCTCCTGAAACCACCTGGAGATGATTTACAAAAAAGGAAAAAGTACTATAAGAATGTTTCTAGTGCTGTGACTATGAAAAAAACTGGACTACAGAGCTGTGGTGCAAGGATACTGTTCGGCTAACGTTAACTTACGCTATAAGGGTTTCTTTAATATAGTTCAGTCATTTATCTTCTTGAAAAAGCACACTTCGCTAAGACATGGATTTGCAAATCTGAAGCTCGCCGTGTTTTGCACAACGTCTCACGAGATGTCCCAGACTTGAACGTCAGGAAGAGCTCTTAAAAATAAGCGCTCTAATTAAAGTGTATGAACCCCCCCCCCTTCTAATGCTTTCCACAGCTCTGATCGCAGGGCTCCTTGGGCGCTAGCTACGTGTGACAGAGACGCGCGCACCGGCCCCGCTCACCTGCATCTCACAACCACCTGGATGTTCTTTCCTTTCTCCTCTTTCTTAGCGCCGCCCTGGGAGCTCACGGCCGCCATGGTGAAGCGGCGCGGGGAGCCTGCGAAGGGGAGGGACGCTGTGA